AAAGAGTAGTACTTTTTATGCAATCATAAGAAAATTGTCTACTTCTCATGAAATTGAAATACATTAAATTTTAAACTTAATAAGAATAGAGAAAGTTCACAATCAGCAACTTAATAATAATAACCAACATTAGACCACAGAACGAAATTGCCCTCTTTGCGCCATTGACTGACTTGAAGACACACATATAATTGTCCTAGTAGAAGCTAGAATTGAAGGTCCAAGAAAGGACCTTGTGTATTTCAACCAAGCTTCCCGTGGCACCAGAGAATCCAATTCTAACCCATTCTGGCAGAACGGTCCTCAAATCAATCTCAAACGAGAGGCTAGTTTCAGTCTCGTTCAAACGGCTTCCAGGGTACGTCACAACCACGTCCAAGTTCTTCCCCACAGGCTCGTAACTCACAGTGGCATACGCAACAAACCCATTCGTAACATTTCCAGTTTCCCACTCTTCCGTCGTCACCGAAGCAATGGAGTTAATATCAAGGCCCACGTGGGCATAGGGTGGGTCCCATGGGTTCCCACTGAAGGAGTCAAATTCCACAGCCACCACTTGGTTTTCGTAAACATTAAGCGCGGTGTCGGAACTGAAGAGTCCGAGGTAGCCGCCACTTGAGTTTTGCGGGATGTTGGAGTTGAATGGGCCGAGGAAGAACGCGATGCCGTCACCAATGAGCCCGGGCCCGTATGGCCCAACGACAAAGGAAAAGGTCGTGTTGAAGCCCGCGAGCCGGCCCGTTTGGGCGTCCCAGAGGCGCACGGGTGCAGCATAAGAGGCTCTACCCGCGTTGTAGGGAGTCGCGGGTGTGAGATAAATTGCGCCTTCGGAAACATTGGCATCGCCTTCGAGGGTGATGGCGTTTGTGTACGGCGTGAAAGTAGGGAAGTTGATAGAAACTGAGTTCACGGTTTGGGACAGTACGAGGAAGGAAATGATGGTCGTGAGAACATGCACCATCCTTGAGTTGTTCATGGCTATGGTTGTCTCAAGTGTGACTTGTAGGGTTTAATATTGAGGATGTGTCGTGGCTTATTAATGTTCCCCTTTATATAGAGTTTGACATGCCGGTTCTAAGAGGGAAAATATTGGCATATAAACCAACAATTCATGAGAACAAAGAAGAGAAATATCAAATATGGTAAAAACAAACATGAGATTTAGGTCAAAAGTAGACCATATTAATATTAATGTGAAGTTGTGTATATAATATAACATAAATATATTTCTCTCAAATAAATATCGTAACATAATTTTAATAGAAAACGTGGAAATTGTTAATAATGAAAATTAATGATCAAGGAAAGTAGCAGGCAGGCCTGCGGCCAGCAAAGAAACTTAGAATGTATATACGATTTATATGAAGAAGCCAAATGACTTGCATAGAACACATTAGACAGGGTGATTAAAACAATGAAATTTTCGACTTTGCATTTGACCAAGTTAGCATATGTCCATGTAGCTACAGCCAAGAATGGTAGGTAAAATTTAAAACTAAGCATGGTAACGAGGATACAAATATTTTCCATCGTTTGACTTTTTTTTTTTTTTTTTTTTTTTTTTTTTTTTTTTAAAAAAATTTTTTTAAAAA